TTTAATAAGTGCTTATCAGAGTCTTGTTTTCCAGCCTGCTGGAAAGCAGCATCTGTATTCCTATTTTTAAAAATTTTGGAGAGGGATCTGATTCGTCTAACTACCGTCCCATTAGTCTTCTTCCTATCATAAGCAAGGCTTTTGAATCTTTGTTTAACAAACACCTTATCTCTAATCTTGAATCTAATAACTTACTTTCTGATCATCAATATCTCATTCTACAACTGATTTGCTAGTAGTTATAACCGAAAGGTTTTATTGAGGATTAGATAGATGCAGAGAGGTTAAGGCTATTGTTCTTGACATTTCTAAAGCTTTTCATAAAGTCTGGCATGCTTGTTTTCTCCATAAGCTTTCTTCTTACATTGTATCAGGAAATATCTTTAAGGTTATTGAATCCTTCCTTACCAATTGTAGTATAAAGTTGTCCTCATTGGACAGCACTCTTCTTTATATCCTATAACTTCAGGGGTTTCTAAAGGTTCTATCAATGCCCTATACTCTTTTTAAATATCATTACCAATCTTCCAGATATTCTCACATCTAAGGTGGCATTGTTCACTTGCGTCTCTTGTGTTATTTACTAAAATTCATTATTGTGTTACTCGTCATTCAACTAAGTCTTATCTTTTTACAGTGACTGTTCCTAAATTTTCCAAAAATTCTTATTTACATAGGTTTTTTCCTTGAACATTAGTACTTTTGAATTCGCTTTCTTCATCTTTCTTTCCGGATTCAAATAATTTGCAATCTTTTAAGTCATCTATCAATCGTTATCTTGCTCTATAAACTTCATCTTTTCTTTTTCAGTATCTCCCAACTCTAATAATGGTTGCTTGCAGCCTTGTTGGTGTGAAGATTAAATATATATATATATATATATATATATATATATATATATATATATATATATATATATATATATATATATATATATATATATATATATATATATATATATATATATATATATATATATATATATATATATATATATATATATATATATATATATATATATATATATATATATATATATATATATATATATGTATATATATATATATATATATATATATATATATATATATATATATATATATATATATATATATATATATATATATATATATATATATATATATATATATATATACTCTTGCATGTCTCTTGCATGGCATCAAAAAAAGTTTCCCATAAACTGTAGTTTTAAAGAGCGCGTTAATAAACCAGACCAGAAAAAGTTTTGATAATTAAATTTTTTTTTTAATTGATAGACTGCCTGGCCAAACCAAACCCTAAGTCGATGTAGCAGCACTCTCTTGCGAGTCAGGCTATTTGTCAGTCGTTGTAGCAGCACTCCCTTGCGAGTCAGACTATTTGTGAGTCGATGTAGCAGCATTCCCTTGCGAGTCAGGCTATTTGTCAGTCGATGTAGCAGCACTCCGTTGCGAGTCAGGCTATTTGTCAGTCGATGTAGCAGCACTCCGTTGCGAGTCAGGCTATTTGTCAATCAAAAACAGCTTAAGAGACGAGGTAATTAAAATTGTAGTCGTAAGAGACTTTTTTTACATTAAAACGCTCTTTTGACTACACTATATGGGTATATATATATATATATATATATATATATATATATATATATATATATATATATATATATATATATATATATATATATATATATATCATGGTGGCCACCAGTCATGGAAATCATGGAATGGCATGGAATTTCTAAATTTTCATCGAAAGTCATGGAAAATTCATGGAACTTTTTAAAACAATCTTTATTTTTTCTACAATTGATACTTTCAAGATATTTACAAAGAAAAATTATTGTTACCTATATTATAGTCTGAGACCTTTTTTAAAAAAAATATTGTTGTGTACATTATAAATTATCATTTTATTGCAATCAATTAGATCAGATTGTTCTTTTTAGAAGGTTAAATTCAGAGGTTTAAATTTTAGTAATTAAAATAATATATCAATTGAATAAATAAACAAAATACTTTTAAAATTTTTGTTTAATGAATCAATTAATCAATTCAAAAAATTTTGCTTTGGAATTGGAGTCGGAGTCGAAGTTGAACTCAAAAAATTTCAATAACTAGAGTCGGAGTTGTTACTTTTTTTTTACGACTCCACACCCCTGGTCACAAATCTAGAACTCTTTGATAAACTCAAAATCTATTTTATCTTTCTTAAATGGTCATTCTATATGAAATCATCCAGACCAAGTCACCCTTACATCTCAAATTTTCTCTATTTTTACATCATTTGCAGTATGTATTAATTAAATAATAACTGCAAAAATATTAGCTAAAAATATACATGGGCTGTTGGGATATTGTCAGTTGATTAATTAGATAATTACAAAAATGCTGATTCGGCAAATTTGTGATTACAAGAAGAGAAAACAAAGCATTTTTGACATGTAATATCTTGATAATGGTTAAAGGGGATTTTCCTAAAATTTAGATCCCAAAGAGATTTTTGCTCAAAGAATTCAAAAATAAGACCTTTTAAGATCTAAAAGTGCCTCGTTTATTCAATTTGTTTCAAAATTATCAACTTATAAATTATAACTTTTGGAACTAAAATAGAGGCTATCACTCGAAATCGCTGGCAAAAATGTTGATTGCATATCATTACTTTACCTAAGGTCTACTGAAAAAGATTAGATTCATGCATTGTCCTGTAATATTAGGACAAAGTAAGCACTCAAAAATATTATCTTTTCAAAATATACTAATAACTATTTTAGGACATATTCATAGTCATGGGCATATGAAGAGGGTAAAGGAAAGGGGTAACCCACCTCCCCAGCTTTTTTATTACGTAAAAATGAATTATTAGTGATAATTTATTTCTAAAATAGAAATTAAAATCCTAATGAAAAAAAATGTTTTTGAGTTTTCAAATTGTTTTGTTTGTAGTTCAAACTTAGTAAATTGTTTTGTTGCATTTGAATTCATTTTCATTATTTACTTCAAATTATTAAATGCCTAAAACTAAAGAATATTTTTGGAATAAACACTATGGTTTTTTGAAAGTTTAAGTTTGGATTATCTTTGAAAATCATACAGCATATGAAAGAATTTTATTGTTTATTTGTTCTTTTAGTAAGTGATATTAAAAACAATAAGTATATTGAGTATATGGCAAGCAAAATTGAAAGAAAAATTTTGTTCAATCAAAATTATATGCTTTTATCATAAGCAATTCTATAGAAAATATTTTGAGAGAAAAATTACAAAGTGTTGCAACCTTTTGGAACACACAAGGAAAGTTAAAAAAGTGTTATAAAATTAATATAATGTATAAAGTAATATTTATTATAGTTAATATGTTAATTAAAAGAAATATATTTTATTGAGATTCATGATTAAATTTAATTTAAGTTGATTTTAAAACTTATTTAAATTTGTTTTTTTAGGCAATATAAAGATTTCTCTTGACTTGGCAAAGGTTTTACAAAAAAATAATTTATATGTAATGCCATGTTGGAAGTTCTGTAGCAAATGTTACAAAAAAGCAGTAGAAACCGATGAAGATATTAGTTCACAGGAGGAGTGAGAATCAAAAAGTGTGGAAAAGGTTAAGTTTGATGCCTCTATATAATTATTTTCAATTTCAACAAGTCAAGTTGAAAATGTTCCAAAACACTGCAATATATCTGCAGCAAAATAAAAGTTTGACAACACTATTGACTGCACTAACTTGCACAAATGATTTCATTAGCATATGACATTGATTAAGCTTCTTTAACAACAGAAACAAACAATAAGTTTCTAACAATAAGTTAAAGAAAGATCATAATCTAGACACTTTAATGTATGAAATTAAAAATTAATGCTTTTTTTTTATGATGAATTTTTGTGGATAGGAATTGCTGAAGATGTAAGTGAACTTGATGTTTAAGTCAGCTTAATGCATCTAGATGGACCAGTTAAAAATTTATTTTGGCCAATGAGAAATAATAAATGCTGGGTGCTTAACTCAGAAGTTATATGCTTAATTTCTACACCCACAACAAGGTTGTATGTTCAACATATCTGATTTAGATTAGTTTTAAAGAATATAAGAAATGGGTTACAAAAAAATAAATTTTCAAAATAATGTTGTTATAATTCATTTACATATTTTTAGTAACTTACTATTTGTTTTCTCCCCTTGCCCCATTCATATGTCTATGACTAAATATGTTGTAAACTAATTAATGAATAATATTATATTGAAGTTTTAAAAAACATTTTATTTGTTTTGTTACAAAGTAAGTTTTTTAAAAATTGGAAAAGAATGAAAAAATTGAAAAATTAAAAAAGTTATTTTAAAAGTGCTTAATTTGAACTAATATTACAGAGACAATTCATGAATCTAATTTTTCTCAGTAAACGTAAGATAAAGCAATGATATGCTATCAATATTTTTGCCAGCGATTTGTATGACAACTTCCATTTTAGCTCCAAAAATCAATAATTTACAAGTTAATAATTTTGAATAAAACTGGATAAACAAGACATTTCTTGAGACTATCAAGTCCTAAAAGTAGTATTTTTGGATTCTTTGAACAAAAATCTATTTAGAAAAAATCATCAAGATGCATATCAAAGATGCATTGCTATTACTTTAGATAATCACAAAATTGTTGAATTAGTATTATTTCAACTGATGATATCCGCCTTTACCATAAACAAGTTTATATTTTGAGTAAGTTAAGTTTGTACCATTAAACAATGCTATATAACTTAAATTCAGCATTTTTGAATATTTTTCGCTTTAACCAATGTGTCTATTATTACTTTATCAAAAAAACTAAAATTATATTTATGAACTTTTTAAAAAATAAATTTGATTAATTTATTTGTTGGATAGAACTTATTTTAAAGTTGTCATGGAGAATGGCGCTCTATTTACCTTGCTTTATATTATGGGCAAGTCATCATAATTTATGTAGATTGTTCTCTATTTTTCAAATTTAGTGTTTGTTATTTTAGTTCCAGCTGGATACCCACGCAATTTTACTGTTAAAATAGTCAACTTTACAACTTTATTTTTATCGTGGGCTGAAGTTGAAAGTTTAATGAGAAAAGGAATTATATTAAACTATATTTATTCATGTAACAACACTGAAGATAGTTTATCAAACAAAGTTGACAACAGTACATTTAATGTAACAGTGTATAATTTAAATCCAGATACAATTTATCACTGTTCTGTTGCAGCATGTACCAGAGTTGGCTGTGGTGTGCAGGCATTTGTTTTTAATATCACATTAGCTGGAAGTAAGTTAATTTTATTGTGTTTATATTTTTTCAACTTTACATTTGAATTGCCTTTTTTTTTCTAAAACTAAAATTCTATTTATAGTTAATATGATATTTCTAATAATTAAAAACAAGTGCATTCAAAAAAAAAGTGCATTCAAAAAACATGTTAAACAATTTTTGTAAAATATGAACTCCAGGGCAAGGGGTTTATCATCTATATACTATTTTTGTGTTGAGTCCCTACAGACAACTTTTAAGATTTTTATAGTTTAAATATGTTAGTGTCTGATATTTTAAGTCTACATGCAATTGTCAAAAAACTGTTTATGCGAGTTTACATCTATTTACTTTTCTTTTAGGTTCTTGGAGGTTTTGAATATTTTATAAGCATTTAGATTTTTTAGATTATTAAACAATGGTTAGCAATGTTAACATAATTGAGATAATAATGAATTAAGGAGAAATAGATATATTTTAAACATATTAGATTTAGGTAAGGCTTTGCCTTTAAAAGTATGCCTATATTTTCAGAACTTTTCTTTTGTGTAGGAAAGCACCTAGAAACCTCATTGAGTATAATCTTTTTATATTATGATTCCCAGTGCTAACTTTTAACATAAGTTTTAGGGGAACTCATATTACAAACCGATAAGGCAGATGATTGGATTTACTAAGTTGTCTTTAAAGGTGGAAAAATGACATACGGGAAAACCCTAATGATTGGGATGATCATTAAATGGAACAAAATCAAATTCACATGAAGCATCTACGGTTAGATATTAAAATTTATGTGGTAAGAAGTGTTTGAAACATGCATGATTGCATTAGATGATATTGTGTTTTAATGAACAAAAAGCAATTTTAAAAAACAATATTGTTTTTCTGATTTGGTAGTGATAACTAAATACAAAATAGTTGTCTCTAATTTAAAAAATTTTAAAGCCTTCATGTTTTAGTAATGCTGTTTTTAGTCTGGTCCTTTATTTGTGGATAAAGTGGGAGGCTTATTGAATGGAACAAAAAATGATTATTGAATGGTAAAAAGGGAAAAAGATATTTTAGCAACTAAATTATGGTCACACATATTTTTCATTTTATTAAACACTATATTTATATACATTTATATATTTAATTGGTTTACTTTTGATATTTAGGTTTGTGCTTGTAATATTATATATGCACACTACATACATACACAAATGTGTACATACATAGATCATGTAATACAAATGTCCTAGGAAATTTGTGTATGTTTGATTTTGATGGTTTAAAATTTTTTTTAGATAAAACCAAACATAAAACTAATACGAAAAATTCTTTAGATGTTGAATGAAAGATGTTCTTAAAGATATGTCAATTCGATGTATATTATGTATATCAAATGTATGTTATGTATATCAAAATCTACAGAAGGTAGAGCTGTAAAAATGACAGAATCTCTTAAGCTTCCAGAAAACTGATGAAAGTGCTATTGTAAAATATATGCATATGTCTTCAAATGTGCTGTAGTTTAACTAAATTACAAACTAGGCAGTTAGCTTACAAGTATAGTGTTGCATTGAATTTTAAAACTACCAGAGAGAGCCTTTTCATTGCTTTTTAAATTTATTCCCATAGGCAACTACTTATTTTTAAAGTAAGTTATTGTGATTATTATATCTGCACGCATTTTTTTCTACATACTTTCTACATCTTATGATGTTTAAGATTACAAGTCTGGTTGAAAATATATCAGAAACTTTTTTTTATTGCAAAGTTACATTTGGCGTTAGTTTACCTGATTTTTTGATTTAAATTTTGTTGCTTTTTTTGCTTTAAATTGTTTTGCTTTAAATTTTGTTACTTGCGTTCTAACTATTAGTTTATCTGATACCGTCGCTACCATCTACCATCTATTATTATATCATTGATCTACCATCACTACTAGTAGTTTGTATCGGTTGAAATGACTTAATTAATCATTAATTTAAACCTAGATATGTATGCAATTGACCATCATGCATTATTTTTTTTATATTTGTGTTAATTTGGAGATATGGTTGTGTTAATTTGGAGCTTTTATTTGTTTACATGATGTTTTTATTTTCTTTTTTATTTAATTAATTTGAAGCAAATTTTTCAGTTTGCGAAAAAAGAATAAATACTAAAACATTAAATAGTCTCTGGTTTACAAAAGGACTAAGAACAAAAGGACTTATTATTATATCAATGATATAATAATTAGTCCTCCAGAACAAAACAATAATTATATATAAAATATCTAAAAATAATATCTTCTGCAAGTGAAAAAATATATAAGAATTATAAAAAAATCTTTGAGAAGACTCGAAAAAATTTGAAAAGATCTATAATTCAAATCTTATCAAAAAATTTCAAAATGACTCAAAGTGCACTTGGAATATAATAAAAGAATTAACTGGAAAATCAAATGTATGTTCAAACTCCCTGCCAAACACTATAAATTTTGAAAACAAAATTATTTCCAAACCTAGTGAAATTGCAAAAAAATTTAATAATTTCTTCACAGAAATTGGAAAAAAAATCTATCTACTGATAACTCATTTATAGACTTTTTATCCACTAGGCACGATCTAAATACTAACAATGATTTATCCATTGAACTAACTCCCGAGGAGTTTGACATTTAAATTCAAACTCCTTGAAAGTTAGTTCAATTGAGTTTGGCTTTTAAATCTCTTAAAAGAAATAAAGCTACTGGCTTCAACCAAATAAATAGTAACATAATTATAGATTGGTACAAAAACCTAAAGGATATACTGTTCAAAATTTTGAAAGTATCTTTAAAACAAGGGATTTTTCAAGACAAAATGAAAATTGCAAAGGTTATTCCAATCTACGAAAATGGTGACAAAACAGATGTGTGCAACTAACACCCCATTTCTATTCTCCCAGCTTTTTCAAAATTTTAGAAAAAATAATTTATAATAGAACATATAAATATCTTAATGATAATAAACTGTTAAATAATAATCAATTTGGTTTTAAAAAATGCATTTCAACGGAACACACAGTTATTAAATTTGTCCGGTAAATCTCTGAGTCTTTTGATAGAAAGCAATACACATTAGGTGTATTTATTGATCTATCAAAAGCATTTGATACCCTCGATCATGAAATTTTACTGCAAAAGCTCAAATGTTATGGGATAAATAACAATCTTTTAAATTGGTATAAAAGCTGTTTAACAAAAAGAAAACAATATTTCCCCGTCAATAAAAGACGCCAAAACAAAATGACTCAAATAACTTGTGGTGTTTCTTAAGGCTCGATTCTTGGGCCTCTTCTTTTTTTAATTTATGCAAATGATATAAAAGTATCAAACTTAAAAAACATCATGTTTACTGATGATACAAATTTATTTGTATCAAACCTTAGCATTACGAAACTGTTCTACGAAATGAATAAAGAACTTAAGCTTATGTCTAACTGGTTTAAATGTAATAAATTAACTTTAAACATTTGTTTAAATGTATGAAAATTAACTTTAAACATAGACAAAACAAAGTGTATTCTGTTTCACCCATTATCTAAAAAACGATTTTTGCCAAACCTTAAACCAAAACTATATATTGATAAAATTAAAATAAAAAGAGAAAATAAAAAGTAATATATTTTAAAAATCGTTTAACACGTTCAAATCTTTTATTTAAAGATGCCAATGTCCTTATGTATATCAACTCAACATTAATAAAATTTTGTGTTTTTGTTTTAATGTAAATTTTCAATGTAAAAATGACACTATATATTTTTAAAGATTTTTTTATCAAAAAAATAAACAAATATATTAAAATATTAATTTTTTAAATAAACCACTTTGTCATACAAAGATTAATCAATTTTGTATTGGATATTGTGCACCTCATCTCTGGAACAAAATTGTTTTGAATAATTTTGATTTATCAACTTCATTTGAACTTTTCAAAAATAAACTTAAATTTATTTTTTCTTTAAACGATATAATGAATTACTTTTAATATGCAATAACGCACTGTAAAATACTTAATTTTTTATTTATTTTTGCTGTTGTTGTTGCTTTTACACTTTTAAAAGGTTCTGACGACAAGATCAATGAGATCTTCTATCAGAAACCTTGTTTATATTTGTAAAGCTTTTATTTATAAAGTTATTTATATAATTGTATTACGATTTATATAATTGTAAACTGTAACACGATATAAACAAAAAAACAAAAAAAATAAATAAATAAATAATTAGTAATTTAGCCATAAAAGTTTTTAATGAAAAAATATTGTATGATTATAATGTTAATCAATATTTTCGGTAAATATTATTTTCAATAACTTTATAAAAATTTTTTTGTCATAATGGTTATTTGAAAGTTTAAACTTTCATAATAAAAATTTCAATGTTTATGATTGCTATTAAATTTTTAAAATTTGATCAAGTAAAAAAAAAAAAATTATTTTTAATTATTTAATTTAAATGTTTCAAAACTTTTCTTTACAAAATTGAGTTTGTGCTTTTTTTTACACAATACCCACTACTTAATTCACCCAAGGATGGTGTAGAATTACATAAAATATCTTTATTTGACATCACTAGTAATGTAAAACATTTTTTTATGGCTGGAAGTTGAACTCTGTTAGTTCATTATTTTAGTAATTTATGCATTTGCAACAAATTTTTAAAGAAAATAGTGGATGAGTTAATCATTGCTTTATAAGTTAGATTATATACCAAAGATATATTACTGTAAACTATTATTAGCATGATAATAGTATTTTCATGATACATTATATTATGATCATATATTTGTATGTGTGTTATACTTTATATATAACTAGTTTTTTCTAAATGATTTTTAGTTCCTAGTGGTCCTCCACTCAATTTTGTGGTTGCACCTTTCAGTTTTTCATCTTTATTATTATCATGGGATGAAGTTGAATATTTTAAAAGAAATGGAACTATTATTTCTTATAAATACTCATGTAGCAATGAAATAAATACCTGGTATGATGTTGATAAAAATACTTTTCAAGTAGTAGTAGACAATCTAACTTTTAATACAACCTATAATTGCACAATTAAAGCATGTACAAGGATCGGTTGTGGTGTTCAATCATCTTTATTTAATACAACTTTAAATGGGTGTAAGTTAAATTGTTTCCATGTAAATTTAAAATTTTTTTGTGATCATATTATTATTACTGTTATTATTATTGTTATTGTTGTTATTTATATTATTAATGTTGGTATTATAGTTTATTGATATTATTATTGTTATTATTATTATTGTTATTATTATTATTATTATTATTATTATTATTATTATTATTATTATTGTTTGTATATTATTTCTTTGTTGTAGCACCTGAGGAAAGTGCAAACATTACTTATATTCATTACTTTAACTCATCATCAATCAATGTCAGTTGGAATGATATTTCTTTTTTGAAATGGGGCATACAAAAAAATCAATTATTTTGTTTAGATATAGAGAATAGTTCACAGATTGTAAAAACAGAATGTGTTGAGTATGTTAAAAATACTTTATGAATATTTGGTTTCATTTAAACAAAAAGCAATTTTTTTTTATTGATTTGTTTGTTTTATGTAAAGTGATCTTGTTTTTTAATTTTTTGTGTGTTTTACATAAAGTTTGAATTTAAATTTTGGTTTATAAAGATAAAATAATTAAGTGTAAAATATATTAATAGATACGTTGGAAAGCATAACACTATAATTAATGGACTTGATCCTTATACAAACTACACAGTGTTGGTATATTGCAAAAATAAAGCTGGAGTTGGGTTCAAAGACAATACTAAAAAAAAATCGGTTTTTACGGATGAACTGCGTGAGTTTTAGTCTTCTTTTAAACAATTTTTTTTTAAAGTTTTTAACTTTTTTTTCAATTAAATTTTTTTAATTTATTATTGCGAATGCTTTTTTTTTTAATGAAAACTGTGAAACTGTTAAAAATTGTTATCAACATGTTTCGAAAATTTGTTTTAACAATTAAGAAATTTAAAGCTATTAAAATAAAGCCTTTTTATATTAAATAAAACAATATATTTATCTATAAATATTTATACAATAAACTTAAGTTAGGGTTAGAGACAAGACACAAATCAAGTAGTGAAGATGAGTCACAAAGTTAACTGAGTTAATGATTAAAAAATACAGAAATTATAAGCATTAGCAACATTAGGGTCAGTGGTGTCAACTAATAACAACAATTTTAGCTGAAGCATAAAAGGAAAGGGTTTAGTCTGTTTGTTTAGTAATTAAATTTTAAAGAATCTTTAGAAGTAAGAGAACAATAAAGAACTATAAGAAAGGTGAGTAAAAAGGTTCAAAATTGAGTGAAAAGGTTCTAAACAGAAGCACATAAAAGAATAGTTAATAGGATTCAAATCTGGTTTCACAGCAGATAGGTGAATTAATGGGTAAGTATATGCCCAGGACAAGCATGTGATTGTATGGAGTCAATGGTAATCAAAGTGTAATAACTATCAACACTGAGATCTGAAGATGAAGCCAACTTTAAAATAGTCTGATAAAGAGTAAATGTTAAAATTTAACTGATGAAAAATTAACTGTTCAAAGACCACAAATATTCGTTAAATTTAAATTAAAACAGTCAAGTGGTGGTGGTTGTTTTTTTATGTTTATTATTTTCAGGTACTTTAGCCATGTTTTATGTTAAAGAGAACTCAATTATAGAGTTCTAAACAATGAGCTATGCAGTTGTTTTGGTTTTACTAACAAACCTAAAGCTGTAAGTAAGTAATCCTTATGTGGCCTAATACTAAGAATTTCTTATGTGGCCAGGATAAGGCACATACAGCTGTTGATGAAATTAGTCTTACTGATTCCATCAACAGATGTAAAATATCAGAACCAGCCTAATAGATAAAGAATGGGTGCAAGGCTTCTCAACAGAATTATTCTGCTTACCTTTAAAGTATTTGCCTAGGAGGCTTTCTACAAGAAAGATATAGATTACATTTGCCTAAGATGAATATTTTGATTAAAACACTATCTCTAGCCTTTACTCAACCTAGAACATTAAGACAATAGTATTTTAATTTATAGAATTTTACATGAAGTAGTTTAATTTGATAAATTGTTGTATTGTAGCTTATTTGTTGATTTTTTTTTAGGTCATATCTATTTTCAAAAAAATAGATATGACCTTACGCAATGAGATGGAGGTTGGCAGCTGGACTAAGTCAAATTGTTGCTTGCATAAGCACAAGCAGATTTATATATTAACTTTGTAATAATCTCTTTTCTTACTGCAATAAAAAAATGGAGATTATTAACAATATAGTATTAAGAATAATAATAAAGATTATTATATTAACATTTAGTATTAAGAATAATAACTTTAAACTAAAGATGACCTAACCATCAATACACTTACAATTTGATTAATACAAACAGACAACCCTACTATGCTTTTAACCATAACTTGACTTAATTGGTTGCACCTTTTTTAAAAAATTTTTTAGCTTTGTCAAGACACCATTTTGTTCCTAGCGAGACAATTAGTTTCCTAAATTAGAACACTTTGATTCCTTAATCTGAACAGCTTGCTCCTTTAAAAAAAGTAACAATAATTTGTAAAATCAACAAAAATTAATTTAAATTGTTTTCATCTTTACAATGAAAATTTAAGCAATTTATTAAAAAAACTCATATAAAAGAACTGAAAAGAAACCATTTTATAAACTCTTATACTAATTGTAATTATTCAACACTTTCAAGCAGGTTCTCTAAATAACCGCAGCTTTATTCAATCACATCTAGTATAACATAATATAAAAATAAATAAAAATGTTATATGCAAATGTAAACAATCCACTTATAAAATGTTTTATACAGGATCATGTAAAATATAAGAAAACTTTTCTAATAATTAACAATATCTTTTTTGCTTAAACTGTTTGCCTTTTTTTTTAATTTTTGTACTTATGTTGTTCTACTTTTATAAAATACGCACTAAACCATTGATCTATTGATGATATGTTTTATGAGAAAAACAAACCTAACTATAAATTTTTTATAAGCTTTACAAGTGCAGAAAAGGTGCGCATGATAATTTTTTTTTGCTCTTGAAGCAATTTTCCTGAATGAATTTTTTTACTAAAAAATATTAAAGTAAATAAAGAAAAGGTACAAAAGCGATCGGTATGAATAGATAAGTATAAAAATGGTCAGTAAGGTAAAGACTCGTATTTTACGGGTCTAAAAAGCTAGGATATATACATCCTAAAACTATAGAAAATGTTGGTTTGGAATAGACTTGCAAAGACATGTATTTTTATGGGTCCAGTCAGATAATAATAACAACAATAGGATTAAAATTGCCTGGGCAAAATAAAAATCTAAAAGTAATAAATTGTACAAAAGCCTAATGAAATTAACAAAAACTATTATGATGATCGTCTATTTTATTAGTTAAAAATCATTTAAATTAACAAAATAAAAGATCATAATAGTTGAATTATAATGAAATTCCTCTTGATGATTCCAAGTCAAGCCTCACTCTTCACCATCGTTTTTTTCATTGTGCTGTTGCGATTTCTAATTGTAACCATTACTTTTGTAATGGTTACAATTAGAAATCGCTTTAGGCTCTAGAGACTTCCAGAGAACTTTTAACAATGTCTTTGGGCAAATCTGTTATTCCTCCTCTCTTCCATGGTTCAGATTTTGTTACCTCACCTTAAGATAAAGCTGAATTATTGGCTGAGAACTTTTCATTAATCTCATCTCTTGGTTCACTAATCACATCCTAACTGATATAGCCGACAAACAGGTTGATCCATTGTTTGACAATTGTATCACTCTAGCTTCTGTATCTAAAGTGATTTCCTGCTTAGACTCTTCTACAACTTGTTGTCCAAACAATATGACCGTTATAGACTTGCAGTAGTGTTCTTCTTAGATGTTGTCTATACTTTCAAAACTATATAATAAGTGCTTATCAGAGTCTTGTTTTCCAGCCTGCTAGAAAGCTGTATCTTTTATTCCTATTTTAAAAAATTCTAAAGATCAATTTGACTCATCTAACTACCATCCCATTAGTCTTCTTACTATGGTAAGCAAGGTTTTTGAGTCTTTAATTTACAATCACATATCTTGAATCTAATAACTTTCTGAATCTAATAACTTCAATCTTCTCCTTTTACTGCTGATTTGTTAACAGTAATAACTAATAGGTTTTATCCTGCATTAGATAGATGTGGCGAGGTTAAGGTTATTGTTCTTGACATTTCTAAAGCCTTTGATAGAGTTTTGTATGCTGGTCTTCTCCATAAGCCTTCTTCTTATGGTGTATCTGGTATCTTTAAGATTATTGAATCCTTCCTTACCGATCGTAGTATAAAAGTTGTCCTTGATGGACAGCATTCTTCTTCAATTTCTGTAACTTTTGGGATTTTTCAAGGTTCTATATTTAGACCTATACTTTTTTTAGGTTACATTAAGGTTACATCTCCCTAAAATTCTCCCATCTGGTTATATCACATGAAATTCTCAAAGTGACATTGTTTGCTAATGATACTATCATTTATTCTTGTCTTGATAAGAAGTTCTCTGATTGCTTGGAGGGGGCATTTGAGCTTGAAAAGGATCTCACTTCTGCTACAGCATGGGGTTCTTAGTGGCTAGTGAACTTTAACTCAGATAAAACTCAATTATTTTCAGCAAATTGTTATCGCAACATAGTAGATCTTTTTTTATTTATGATCAGTAATGTAGTTAATGAGTCATCTAGCCTTCGTCTTCTAGGATTAACTCTTACTTCCAATCTTTCTAGGAAACCATATATTAAATCAATTGTAAAATTATCATCTGCTAAGGTTGCATCTCTTTATTGTGTTTGCCACTTCCTTTTTCCTGATTCTATTTTTTAGTTCTATAAATCTTAAATCCATCCTTGCATGAAATACTGTTGCCATGGAGAAAGTTCAAAAATGCATGGTAAACATAGTTAGACCTGCTTATCAACCAACCTCTGACAATTATCACAGTGTTGTAATGTTGCTTCTTTTTCTCTTTTCTATAAATACTATAATGGGTGCTGCTCTAAAAAGTTAGCGTCTCTTGTGCCATCTACTAAAACTCATTCTTGTGTTACTTGTCATCAAGTCTCATCTTTTAAATGTGACTGTTCTTATGTGCTTTAAAAGTTCTTATTTGTTAATTTTTTCCTTGAATATCAGTTCTTTGGAATTTGCTTCCTTCATCTTCTTTTACTGATTCATATAATTTGCAATCTTTTAAATGGTCTGTCAATCTTGCTTTATAAACTTCATCTTTTCTCTTCCATTAACTTCCAACTTCAATAGTGGTTGCTTGCAGCCTTGTTGGAAGTAAAGTTTACACACACAAAAAAAAAATTATGTGAAATATTTCTTCAACCCTTTAACTTTATTACTGATTAAGTAAGGAAAATATTATAGCTCCAATAAAAAAAAATTTAGATTATTTTGCCATATCACTGTTATATCATACTTGCAACAGCTTATAAAATAAGTTTATGTTATTACTTGCATCTAAAATATAATCACACTAAACAATGTAATCTGCCTGACCTACAGCATTATAGTTTACATGGTACAATCAATATAGAGTTGTTGCAAAATTAGATCACCTAAAAAAAATTACACTAAGAATCTTTTAATTGAAAGCGCACATGCATTTTTTAAAGGCAACTTTTAAAATCTCTCAAAACTCTGAAAAATAAGATGTTTTACTAGAAAAATCTAGATTTAGCCATGACACATTTTATTTTTAAAATATTTATAAGTCACTTATTGTCCAGCATTAATTAAAAAATGTTGTTTATTTTTAGAAGCTAACAGTAATATACTTTTAATGATGCCATCATTAAATAATATAAATTATAGATAGAGATTAGTTCACCAATGTAAACCAAAATAATGTAAAAGATTTTTGTCCAAATGTATTGTAATTCAAGTTTTGTTAAGAGTTCTAACAGTAGCATATGGAGAAATTTATTTTTATTAAATCAAAGTTAATCAAAGCTTATCTGTGGATTACAGCATCATATAGATTTTCTAATTTAGGGTTTTAAATTGAAAAAAAATTGTGTGTTTATGCAAATTTTTTAATTTTGTAACTTTCTTAATAAACAGAAAGCCATGTTTTTTTGTATGAAAGAAACTCTTCTTGTTTTTATGATATGATATTTTTTCCTCCATTAATTTTGTTATAAATAAGTTAACTAATTTAAATAAGTTAAATATTACTTTTGATCACAACAATATTTTTTAAATGATCTTATTTAAAAATTATTTAAATTTTAACTTTTTTAAATTATTTTAGCTCCATTGGTTTCTCCTAAAAATATATCAGTTGATTCAAATACAAACAGCATATTGTTGCAATGGAAACCTCTTGATCAAAACGAGTACTATGGTGTTTTAACAGGTTACAGTATTATAGTTAAAGCTGTTTATTCAGAATCAGATTTTAAAATACAAAGTAAAAGAAAGAGACGTGGTCTTGACATGCAAATATATAATGGAAGCTTGCTTTTAGAATGGTCAGTGAATTTTGATTAGATTTTTTTAAAAAAGGTAATAAAACCTAAATAAATCAATAATTTATTTTTATTAACAATATAACAACATACAACCACATAATAGTAACAGCTATTTTAGAAATATATAAATTTTGTATAATCAAAATATTTGTAACAAATTTGATAAAATAGTAAAATTTTAGCTAAAATTATGAAAAAAAAAAATTTAAGCTAAAAAAAAAAGATTTTTGTAAAAACACAAGTAAAAATTTTGAGATTGAAAACAATAGATGTTATTATCAGGGTGGCTGCAGCTCCTCTAAAATCCTCTTTTTTCAAAAACCATCAATTATTCTCTAAAAAGTTAAAAAACTGCAATAACGTAAAAACATCTTATTAGAGTTTTGAGTTTTTAGGTAAAGCATAGGCAGTTGACGTTTTTTCTAAATATAATAATTGTTTCAATTCTTTTAATGTAGTAAAGTCCTCCAAGTTTCTTCTGATGGTCTTAATGTAAATTGAACGTCTTTAAATCTGGTAAATGAAAGCAGAAAAGAAGATTTACTTGATCCTTTAATTAATATTAGGACATGTAGTCTCCATACCCTTCATCATTCTTTCCAAACTAGAGAAATGGCTACTGACTGGAACATTAAGAAATTACTTATTTCTATGTATAAAATATTTGATCTCTATCCCGCAGAGCTGACTATGAATATCTAATAGCTGCTACTTTTTCAGGCTATCCTCTTAAGTTCTGTGCACATTAATGGGTTGAAAATAGTAGTGTTGCTAAGCGTGCCCAAATGATTTTGCACAAGATAATTGAAGCAACCTGGAAATGGAAAGGCTAAAAAATACAACAGTTTTGATTGTCTTGCTAAAGCTGTGGAAAATCCTTATATTCTGCTGAAAATTAGCATCATTAAATAAGTTCTTAATCACTTTTCAAACTGACAATCCAATGGTTCTGTTTCTTATCCAGTCACTAGACAACGTCCTTCATAATTTATGCAGCCACTTTTTGAAGAAAGATGTTTTAGAAAAGGCAAAATCTGTATATAAGCTGCTCAAAATTAACTTAACTGATAATGTAAATCAAGTGTTATTGGAGTCAGTTGATCTTGGTTTTGCTGTCAAACATGATATCAAAGTTTTGACAAAAAGAGGAAACTTGAGCAATTATCATTTACACAATCTTCAATCAGGTGCTTACAGTTCTTGTCTAGTTTTATGCGGTAGTGGTGTAGTGGTAGAGTGCTCGCTTCATAAACGAGTGGTTCCGAGTTCGATCCCCACCACGTCCCTGGTAGTACCGCGCTCAACTCGTTTCTCCGCGCAGCGGCCTTGTTCGTCAAGGTTCGTGTTTCGGAGTTATAGAGTTGAGAGAGGGTTATAGTCACAAATAAGTAGCCTTCTCGTCTGTAGTGGCCTTCTCAGCCTTGAGGAGGTGAATTAAAAAAAAAAAAAAAAAAAAAGTTAATGTATGCATTTTAAAGTTTTTGTCTAGTTAATGTATGCATTTTACAGAAAAAAGTTCTTTTCTAGTTTATGTATGCATTTTACAGAAAAAATTATATTGAGAAATAATCTTGTTTGAAGTACTTCTTTTTTGTCTCCTAAAGTTGTGTTGTAACCAGCTGAGTTGTCAATAGGGTTGGGCTTTTACTGATTTTTAAATTTGCCAGTAAATCGGTGAAAAAAAGCATATTTTACCGGTAAATATCAGTAAAATTGATAAGAAAATAAAAAATCATAGAAAATGGTATAAAGTTTTTTTTCGTTTCAAAATAAAGTCTTTATAAGATTCAGTCCTAATATCTTTATTGATAATTTTTATATTGATAAAAAATGAGCTTTGAGGAAACAAAGTGTATCAAGTATGTTGTCATTCATTCTGAATCGAATTTTTGTTGCAAATAATTCAGCAGCAGAAAAGGTTCGCTCAGACTCAATACTTGTTAGAGGAATGAAACTTGTTAGAGGGAGGAATGGTATCCAGTTGATTGAAAAAAAGTTCAAGATTAGCAGTTCTCTTTCCAGTAGCTTAGACCAACATTTCTTTTGAATGCCTTTAAATTCAATGTTTGAATTGTGGCATTTTTTTATGGCTGAATGCTGAATTGCTTCCTTGAGTTCATCTTAAAGTGAAAGTGGATTTTCATCGAGAGTCTGAGCCACGCACTTCTTGAATGAATTCTAAGTCATCTGGATTTGTTAAGAATAGTCTAGAGAACAAATCTTTGGCAGCCTTTTGAAGTACAAACTTCGAAGGCATTTTGAAAACTCTATGTTCTTCAATGTCGGATAAGCATTCTGGATTGGAAAGATTTCTGTACAAGCTTACATGATTGCTCTGCCTTCTCTCTTAAAAACGTCTCAAAATTGCACTCTTCATTGCAATGCAAAGAGTTGAATCTTGTTGTTTCAATCTGTTCAATATAACAACATACAACCACATAATAGTAACAGCTATTTTAGAAATATATAAATTTTGTATAATCAAAATATTTGTAACAAATTTGATAAAATAGTAAAATTTTAGCTAAAATTATGAAAAAAAAAAATTTAAGCTAAAAAAAAAAGATTTTTGTAAAAACACAAGTAAAAATTTTGAGATTGAAAACAATAGATGTTATTATCAGGGTGGCTGCAGTTCCTCTAAAATCCTCTTTTTTCAAAAACCATCAATTATTCTCTAAAAAGTTAAAAAACTGCAATAACGTAAAAACATCTTATTAGAGTTTTGAGTTTTTAGGTAAAGCATAGGCAGTTGACGTTTTTTCTAAATATAATAATTGTTTCAATTCTTTTAATGTAGTAAAGTCCTCCAAGTTTCTTCTGATGGTCTTAATGTAAATTGAATGTCTTTAAATCTGGTAAATGAAAGCAGAAAAGAAGATTTACTTGATCCTTTAATTAATATTAGGACATGTAGTCTCCATACCCTTCATCATTCTTTCCAAACTAGAGAAATGGCTACTGACTGGAACATTAAGAAGTTACTTATTATATATATACTTTTCAAGAAACTTGAAAATTCCATCAGCAGTAAGAAAAATTGCATCCCGTCAGCAAAGAGCTTCTGCTGCCAATTTGATCAGTTGAAGAGCAGCAAACAATTTTGTATAAAATGTTTACTTCATCATCACTTCTTCAATTGGTTGGTTTGGGAAAAAAGTTGAAATCTTAGGCTTTTTTGATTCTGTTGAAACTTTTGTTGTCAAATTTTTCTGTGTTTCTTTTTTGATTCCATGTTTTTTGTCTAGGTGATACCACATTCCAAAGGTGGAACTTGAGCATTTATTAGGTATTTTTAATATTTTGCAAGTCATTGTTTTTCCATTGTTGTAAAAGAACTGGGGATGTTTAAGGAACTAGATTGAAAGTGTAATTTTAAAGTATCATGGTTCACTTGTTTATTTTAACTGGAGTTTTTCTACTCTAAATACATAAGATTCCAAAATTGAAAATTTGTTACTTTTCTAATATAAAGAAGTTAAAAATAATGAGAATTTTGTATTTTTTTTAACCACAATGAAATATTTTTAATGTTGTTAAGAACTATCGGTTTTTTAATCAATTAATGTAGGTTAAGGTTTTTTAATCAAATAAGTAAAAGATATTGTTAAAACCATAACAAAGTTCAAAATTAGTCTTGTTTATTTTAAGAGTTCTATCAGTTAAACGCTTTACAGAACTTGGTTTACAGGTCCTTACAGTACATGATATGGTTGTCTTGTGACAAACAAATATAAAAAGTCTATTATAGCATATCTATATAACAAATTGTTACTTGTTTTTCCTACTTTTATAGCATGCAGCATTTTCAGGAAAAGAAAAAAAACAAAGAAAATGAAAAGAAAATTTCCCAATCATGCCAAACTCTTAGTTGATTTATCGGCACTTTTTTGCAGACACTGGCTATAAGATAGTCGATGTATTTACTGAAGCTCCGGCAGCAGGCCTAGATCATGTGTATACAATCTATCAGCCAAGAATAATATAACATGTAACTTTGCAACAAATCACTTTGATGCAGAAATATATTTTCTGCATCACTTTGATGCAGAAAATATATTTCTGCATCAAAGTGATTTGTTGCAAAAATATGTTTGATAATAAAGCAATTAATTCAAATGATTTTATAGTTTTTGTGTGAGTAGTATATTTTGTGTTAGTTTAGGTTTTAGGTGTTGTTAACTTTACAAACTTTTATAATCTTTCAATGATATTTTATATTTCATTGTTATTAGGCAAACAAATTTAAGCGATCCTAATGCAACATTCTTCAACATCACAAGTTTGTTTGGAAATACAATTTATATAATCAACATATCTGCTAACACAAAATACCAAGGAAAATTTAGTTCTGGAGTTCAAATCAAAACCAAAGAAGGAGGTTTGAAACTTTCATTTTTTAACAGAATTTTGAAGCAAAAAAGTCTGTGATTTTGATTAGGTTAAATTAATTAAAATTGGCTCCAAAGCTTCGTTTAAAAGTATTTTTATAAATAATTATGAAGTTTTAAATTTTTTAAGAATTAAAAAAACGTTTTTAGTTCCTCTTCTATCTGCTGTCAATCTTCAATGTGATATAATAACTTACTGTTCTATTTCTATACGTTGGCAACCAACTCCACCTGGTTACCTTCAAGGTATACTTATAGGCTATACATTGTCCTATCAAAAAGTTGATACGGAAGAAATTCAATATGAATCTTTAAATGCAGAGTCCACAAGTTATAATGTAATCAAATTAGATGCATTTACTAATTATAACATAGTGTTGATAGCTTTGACTAAAGATGGCGGTGGGAAAAATTCACAGTTAACATGCAAAACTGATGATGCAGGTAGGTATCTTTTGTTATTTATAATTATAAGGCAAACAATATTTATTGGTTTGTTTGATTTCGAAAAATAATTTTTATGATGAGCTAAAAAAAATTATTTTTAATTAAATTTTAAAAAGACAAATTGCAATATGTCTGTAAATGTCATAAATAAATGATTGATTTCTTATTCTAAAGTGCAATTGATAGGTTAAGTTTAAACACTACATAAAAAGTCAGATTTAGCATTTTATTCAAATATAATCTTTTTAATCTAACAATAATTTTGACTTAGACACCCCTGGAAGTACCTTACTCAACCAGTTTTTTTATGCATCAGCCATATTTAATAAAGTTTGTGAATTGGATTTTACGGTTGAGAGCAAATTTCAAATATAATAAAAAATCAAAACATTAGTAGCTGCCTCTACTGTTGTAGGGCCCTCTGAAGCCTAGGGGAGGTGAATTAAAGAAAAAAAATGTATATATATATATATATATATATATATATATATATATATATATATATATATATATATATATATATATATACATATTTGGTAAACTTACATTTTTTTGCTGTGGCATTTAAATAAAAGTAAGAAATGGTTTACTATTGGAGAAACAGAATACTACAAAAGTTGATACAGTATATTTAATTGAAGGCACACTGAAACAATTTCAAATTAATTTAAACTAGAATGGAAGAAAAATAAGAGAATTTTTTTAAGATAAACTATGCACAAACTTATCACAAAATAAAATGATCAAACTTTTCAACATAAATTCTGCACAAATTAAATGCAATTGCTACTTCTGCTTTTGAACAGGGACAATTGTGTTAAAATTACATCAAATATCTTTTTAAAAGATTCATTAAAGTATTAAAACAGTTTATCTTTTTAATGTCTTCCTAATAATTTTTTATTTAGAACTTAATAATTTTTCTTTTTTTGTTTTAATTTTTAATTTAATTATTTAATTACTATTGATATTTGAATTATAAGCTGGAACTTGACTGTGTTTGATGTTTGGTTGTTGCTTGGCTGTTGACTTTGTTTGATGTTTAGTTGTTGCTTGCTGTTGACTGTGTTTGATGTTTGGTTGTTGCTTGGCTGTTGACTGTGTTTGATGTTTGGTTGTTGCTTGGCTGTGTTTGATGTTTTTATACATTATTTAAATGAGATGTTGAGTATTTTTTGTTTAAAAATAACTTTAAAAGCTCATATAATTTAAAAGTTAGGTTGTAAAACATGACTAATTGGTTTTAGGTTATACAAATTTATATAGATATATGATTTTGTTTATGCTTAATTTTTTTGTTGTTGTTGTTATTATAAAATGATTTAATGTAGTTTAGAGTTTTTTAAAATTTACATAAATTGCTGTAGTGGTAGAGTTTCATAAGCAAGAAGGTCAGAGTCCCTACCATGTCCCTGTTAGTACTATGGTCAACTTGTAATTACCTTTTGTTCAATACTACTGTTTTCACCTTTTATTCAAAAATTCTCTTCTTGGAGTTGAATGTTTGAATAAAAATTATGGGAAAATGTAAAAACCAATTTTTTTTTAATAAAAGAATGAAGAAACTTTTTTTTTTAATTTATTTGTATAAAATATTATCTATATAGAATTTTTTTAATAGAATAATTATTTCAAACTTTAGATAAATTTGAAATTTTTTTTTTCTTATAAGTACCTATACAACCCCCTACTGGTTTAGCAGCCACATCATATTACTACCCAGATAAAACAAATGTTTCATGGATCCACATAAATCAAAGTGATTGGAGAGGAAGACCTCTTGGTTACACTATAGCATACAAGCTTCTTAAACAAGGAGATGTAGACATTCCTAATCAACCTTGGGTAATGATCAATATAACTTATACAAACCTATCCATGTACCAACTTCAGAACCTACAACTATATTCTCAGTATTCTCTTAAAATAGCTGGTTACAATAAGAAAGGTATTGGATCATTTAGTGGTGTTATTAATTTTGGTAAGTTTAAATAAATGATTTTTTCTAGTGTTTATAGTTTTTTTTTAACCATTTTTATTTTAAAACCATTAGTAATATTTAATAATACATCATTATATTTTGGGTTCAGCATATCTTGACTTTCTTTAGAAATCCCATAAACACCTGGTGATTCGTTGTGCTCTTAAGGATTCTAAATCTGAAAATCACACCTCAAAAGTTTATTTTTTGGGTTAGATAACAATTTCTTTAAATCTTTAATTTAATTAAAATTGTGCCTTTAAATAACATTCATAATATATATTAGCAAAACATTTTTCAATATACGTTTTCAAACCGTAGATAACATGAATATAACCAAACAGTTGAACAAACTTTTTACAAAGTTAAACATTCAAAAATTATGAATATGATCACAGTTGCTTGAATTATTTCAAGTTGCCTATCAACAATTTATCCTCCATAATATTGTTTTCTGGTTTCACTACATTTTTATTGAGATTTTGAGTTTGTGAACTATTTTGAATTTATTATCCATTTTTAACACTTCTTTTCTGACAACAATCTGGTGCTCTTAAATAAAAAATTTCAATAATTGCTTTTCTGTCAATTTGTTTAGTTTGTTCAAATTTTTTTGTGTAAGAGTTCCACCATGTACTTTGCATTCGGCGTATTACATCTTGCAGTCACTAGTTTGTTGAGGCTGGATAGTTTGACCCAGAATTTTAGTGAAACAAGTATGTGAATACTGGAACCAGACTTGGACATCTTTTTGTTGGAGGCAATCGGTATTAGCAACTGATCTACTGATCTGCTGTTCTGTGTTTATAAAAACTTGTCAATATTCATGATCAATACTCAGAATTAAATGTGTTAAGCACTTGTGAAACATGTTTTTATCTACATCAAGATGTAGCAGGAATGTACAGTCACTTGCTCTGTCAGTTATCCAGAAATGGACTGATTGTTTTATTTCTTCCACAGTGGAATTACTCAGAAGCCTTTGACACTACAATTTATGGGTGTATACCTTTGCAAATTTGTTGCTCAAATGGTAAATAACTTATGGGTAACCTCTTGTAAATTTTCTACGCATTATTTATTCAGCTTTTATATTATAAACTTGGAATCACACAAAAGTTGGAATCACACATAAAGTTGGAATCACACAAAACTTCTTTTTACATGTCTGCTGATGTACTTCACGCCTACCTAAAAATTTGCTGTCATAATTATGTTTTCGGGTATCATTTTGACTTTACATTTTAAATTTTTTCGGCAGCTTTTCTCAACTGCAGAGGAAAAAATTTCAGAAAATTCACTAAAACACAATTAATGATAAAATAAAGTATTAAAATAAGATAGAGTATAAAGTAATGAGAAACTGTTTAATAATAAAACAAAGAGTGTAATAATATAAAGAGTATAAAGTTGAGTTGTCAGCAAATAATAAGAAGTAAAGATCCACAATAATAAATAAAGAGTCACTTTATATGTAAGGTTGTCAGGAAGATCATTAATGTATAAAAGAAACAAAATAGCACCAAAGATAGAGCCTTGAGGTATCCCAGAAGTTACTGGAAAAAAGTGGAGTATTGGCCTTTGTAGATGATGTAAAGGTTAAAAGCAATTAAAAAAATAAAATGTCCTAATATTTTAGAAAAGTTTTTTTTTTAAGTCAAGATTCATAGTAGGGTCTCTAAGGAATTTCTTATTGCAAAAAGAGTGTCAAGATTGTAATCTAAGAAGATCTGTATTTAGTTTTAGCATTGTTGTGTATGATTCCACAAGGTGTATACTTTTTTTTTCAGTTTCACCCAAACCTATTATATGTCTATAACATTATTAGTAATCTTATCTTAGAGGAGTCATATCTTATATAATAATATTATGATGTATATATCTTATATAATAATATTATGATGTATATATCTTATATAATAATATTATGATGTATATATCTTATATAATAATATTATGATGTATATATCTTATATAAAAATATATATCTAATATTCATTAATAATAATAAGTTTCAAATAATAGTAACTATCTATTAGTAACTAAAAAATTTGCAATTTTAATTTTAGATACATGTCATATCTTAAATCCTGTTGTTGAAATAAATTACATTTCAATACCACCATTTGCGAATCCAAATAATTCCTCACAATTTCCACCTGAAGGTATAATGATTGCACCAACAGAGCATTCATTGAAACAATGTGCTGGTATTTGTTCCTCTTTTTCTGAAAATATTTCTTTTGTTTATACAAAAGTGCAAAAAACTAGTTTAGAGTTTGTAAAAATGAGTTCAGATAAAATCAAACTTCCTGTCACTGTACCTGTACAAGTTTATAATAGTTCTTATTCATCAACAGTACAGCTTTCAGGTTTTGTATTTTTGTTTATTCCAAGTAATACATCTGTCCAGTTAGCTGAAAATGAAAAATTAGTTTTTAAAAATACTGCAAGTAGTTTGGCAACCCTTGTAATCTACATTTTGTTAAATTGTTTGTTTGGTGTCATCTTGTTTTATTGTGTAAGTATATAATCGAATATTTATATTATAAGGTAATATACACACAGATAATAAAACGAACAGTGAACAAGTAAGTTATAGCTTTAGTAAGTTATAACTTTTATGAGTTATTTAACTTTAGTAAGTTATAACTTTTATTTTTTAGAGATCAAAATCTTTTTGCTTATTTTTTAGCAATATCAAAATTCCCAAACAAAAAGTCATTGTTTTACTTTGAGTGGTATATTTGAAGAAATATACTTTTCTATTATTACTATTACGACTGTTGGGTATATAAAACGTTTTTTGTAATATTATTTTTATTGAAGGAAAATATAATTTTTTTTTTTTGCTTACTCTTTTACTTCTTATGAAAATTTAAAATATTTTTATTTAGTTATGGTGATAAGATTCCTTTAACATTTTGTGGCAGAGTGTCATTAATAGTTTGGACATTTATGGGTATTGTCTTAACTTCAATATGTGTTGGAAATATAATTTCAGCTCTGACAGTTGATGTTGTTAGTTCAGTCATTGATTTATATCCAAAATATACTGTGAGTTTTTTACAATAAAATTTTAATTTTTTTATTTACCACATTACTCCATATTTATTTCATATTATATATTTGTGTATGTGTATATATACATATATATATATATATATATATATATATATATATATATATATATATATATATATATATATATATATATATATATATATATATATATATATATATATATATATATATATATATATATATATATATATATATGTATATATATATATATATATATATATATATATATATATATATATATATATATATATATATATATATATATATATATATATATATACATATGTATGAATGTATGTATAAAGTTTTAGAAAGTTTGTATGGTGTATATATATGGTTCAAAGGGTCATGGTATATAAGGTTAACACGTCATATAGGCCAAAGTGGGTGATATATTGACTCCTCCCAAACTTAGTGAATCATAAAATACACAATTGCAGTCTTAAGAATTTTTTAGCATAGAGTATCATATATGATACTATTTAAACTTAAAGATTGTTATGGTTACAAATAATTTTAACATTATATTTTAATAAGATAATTTAATTCCTAATAATTTACTTTCAAGCCTAACCATTAAGTTTGCCAATAATCTTGATTTATAAACTCTATCTATTTTTAAACAAACAAAAATTATTTCTAAACCAACAAAATGGCAAGTGGAAGAACTATACACTGTTAAAAAAATGAAACTGGAAGGGCTATACACTGGAAAGAGGTTAAGAATATGTACCTAAAACTTTTTGGTCATTTAGTCAAGAGATTTTCTGGAAACTACACAGATATTTTTGATTTTCATCAAGAATATCTTTGACTTTAAAGATTGTTTTCCAGGAATCAGAAAATGTTTAAACTTATGAAATTTATGGAAAAAGATAATACTCATGACAAAGTTGTGTTTTTTTCTACAATGAATGGATCTCCCAGAAAAAACATTTTAAATTTTAATCTTCAAATTAAATAACAAAATGATAGAAAAAATTTGGGGATGCTTAAGGTTTGCATTAATTGAAAAGTGGTATTCACAGAGTTTTCACAGGTTTCTCTGCACAAATGCCACCAATCCATCAATCATTGGCTTATATCTGATTAAAGGTCTCACAATTTCCAACTTGACAAAGAGGCGGGCAAAAGAACATCACTATTATTGGAAGGCATATCTGTTACCTTAAGTGAAAAAACTTTTCACTTCCCATATAGCATTAAAGAAAAAATTGATTAAAAGTTTTTGAAACTAACCAATCTTTACCATTTCAACTTGGAAAGCTTGTTTATGTTTTAGTTCTGTTTTGTTTATGTTTTAGTTCTGTTATGTTTTAGTTTTACTTCTGTGCAAAAATGAAACGTTAAAGAAAGGAATAATCAAATGCTACGCAAAGTTTATTAGGTAGTAAAAAATGAGCTCTATAGATTTCAAATTATTGATTGTTGGATGTGCCTTCCAGCTATATATAATATGAACTATTTTTTTATTCACTTTTGTGAATAAAAACATAAAAAATTTAAAAATTAACACGCTGACTTTTAAATTTATGTTTGGAAAAAGAACTATTAATATAATCAATCTAATTACAATCAACTATTGTTTGAGAATAGTTAATCGGTTGAAAAAAATAAATTAATTTTTTTTAAGTTAAATTTTTTATACAATATAAATAATATAGTAAATAATACTATTTAAAAATTTGTAATTTTTACGGAATATATTTGTTAACATTTTATGCAAAAAATACTGAAAAAAGACGATAAAAAAAGATTTTTCAACTTTTTCTAAGTAAGGGGACTCAAAACTTTTTATACTAAAAAAAAAATTCTTAGTATATATTATTTTTTTGTAGTCTAATTTTTAATTTAAAAATTGGTGTGATTTAATTTAAAAGTTGGCAAAATTTGGTGGTCATAGTGGACTCTAAGCAGACAGTATTAGTGGTTAAATCATATTTTTATATTTTGTTGAAAAAGTAACAAAGCATAACAATTTTTAATTTTAACTTTTTTTTAATTTTATATTTAGATATAGATTTCTTATTAATAAAAAGTAATGACATATTTCTGATATGTCAATACAAAAAGAGAAAAGACAGTATTGATATATATATATATATATATATATATATATATATATATATATATATATATATATATATATATATATATATATATATATATATATATATATATATATATGTATATATATATATATATATATATATATATATATATATATATATATATATATATATATATATATATATATATATATATATATATTTATATATTAGAATATATATTATATGTATATATATTACTACTACTAGAAACTGTGTGAGCAACATTTAAATATTTCGATTTAGTTAAGGTATAGAAATTTTTAACAGTTGATTTTTTGTTGCAAGGGTGACAAATACCAAGACCAACTATTTGATTGCATTGTGAGCAAAAAAAACTAGTTCTACACTAAAGCAAATTACTAATAACAAATTATTAATACCAGTCATCTTTTTACATATGAGATTATTTTATTTTTAAAAATCAATATTCTAACTTATTATTTAATTTGAAACAAATTTTCTGAAAATTGTATTTATTGAGGCTACTTTATCTGAGTTTTGACATTTTTTGTGCCAAACTTTTGCAATTAGTCATTAAATTAAAATTTTCAAATAGTATTTAAATTATAAAGCACTTGAGTTTTTCATAATTTAAATGGTAATAATATAAAATAAAATAATAATTAAAAATATTTTGCAAATTGAAACAAAAATTACTTTCTAACAACTGTTATTTTTTGGGGGTATATTTGATAAGATTTTGTTCTGCTGAATGTTAATCTACTGAAATGGGTGACTTAAATTGTGAAGTAAAAACAACTGTAACTAAAAACCACTAAACAAAGAGCAGGAAGATATGTACATACTTTTTGATAAGATTATGTTAAAACTGAAAGTCTTTATTTTGCTGTGTTTTTATTTTAATTAAATTATTTTAAATCAAGTTAAAAACAAAGCAAGTGTTGAAAGTATTATTTTTCTTTTTATTACAGAAAATATATAATATATATATATATATATATATATATATATATATATATATATATATATATATATATATATATATATATATATATATATATATATATATATATATATATATATATATATATATATATATATATATATATATATATTATAAAAAAATAACATAGAATTTTTGCTAGTAATAACAGAATGAATGACAGATGTTATGTAAAATGTAATAACTTATTAATAAAAAAGACTTTAAAGTTAAATAAAAAAAATTAGTTGTAAAGTTAAATGATAAAACAATAAACATAGCAAATAATAAAAAAAATTTAATTTATAACATTTTTTTTAAGGTTATTGCAAAATTAGGATCGCCTGAGTATCTATGGGCTAATAAGATATCATCAATAAATCTTATTAAAGGTTTGTAAGATAAAGCAATTTGTTGATTAAAAGAAATTTTATTATTGTTACCTTTACTAATTACAAAATAACAATGTTGTTTTATGAAAAAAGTTTAAATAGAATCATAGTGGTAATGGTGGATTATAAAAATGATTTTTTTGATTAAGCTTTTTTTCTGTCTTTTTTTAGATCTATTGTTTACTTTTTAGATAAGAACTTCTCAAGTCATTTAGATGTTTTAGATGGGCTAAGAGCAGGTCAAGCAAAGTATGCTGTTTTTGATCAATACACGATTGAAGCTTATCGAGTTGTTATGATGCAATTTAACATAAAAGTTGCAAAAGTTTTTAATACTGATAATTCTTATTATGGAGGTAGTTTTTCTTCATATTTTTATTTTTTGATTTTACTTAAAGCAATTAAAAGAAAATTTAAAACTGATTTTTTTTTTTTAATAAACATTTAATTGAAATGATTTATTTTAAGGTAATTTATTTTTTTAACAAATTCATTCTAAAAAAGACTGCAAAAACCACTAATTAATATAACAGAAAACAAAAACAAACAAAAAAACCTGAAAAGCAAATAGACATAGTTTTTTAAGCCTTTTTTCAAGCAAACGATTGACAGAAAACTGAAAAAACTTGAAATTGCATTTGTCAGGAAAATATGAAAAGAGGAAAGATTTAAAATCACTAATGTTTGTGGTAAAATTATGTTAGTGATGAATAAAACCTCTTTAAGCATGAAGGAACAGTTACAGTAAAAGGATGCGAGCTGAATAGAGAGTCATGCAAGATCGAATTTTGGTTGACAGAATAAGCGATGATAGCTTACCTGAACAGTGACAATGATAGCATTTGTATGTAAAAGAAAGATATGCAGCTTTACATCAACGGGCTCAGATGCTCAATTTTAGCAGCTGATTCAAAAACATTTACTATGCTTTCTAATGTCTCATTATAAAAACAACTCAAATATGATGGCAGTATTCCATACAGAGACAAATATGAGATCTATAGAGGTAGAGAACAGAAAAAAGAGTAAGGATATGATAAGCCTGATAGAGGCAACCTTAGCAGATGTTAACATTGCATTGGATTGAATTTAAGATTTCTGTGAGATGCCAGTAGTTACTGATTATCCGAAAATACATAAAAAATGTCATTGATTAATATAGAGATATCACAATATTGTGGTAATTGTAATGAGTAAATAACTATGTTTTGTTTGGGTTATAATTCACTAATCTCTTTAAGCCCCAAGTTGTTACTGAAGAGAGTACAGATTTAAGTTCGACTGCTTTTTTTAAGCAATCAAATTGTAAAAAGATTTTGTCAGGATGAGGCCAGCTGAAATAAAATGTTCCTAGGGGGTTTAGACACCCCCTATGCTCCACCTCCTCTCTTGGGATGGCCTTGACTATTATTGCTTTTAGTGTACATTATTGAAGCCACATTAAAAGCCCTTTATCACAATTTTATATAAATTAGAGGAACTGAGACAACTGCATAGCTCATACTTGGATGATTAAGTTAAGTTATGTCTATGATTAAGTTAAGTTCTCTTTAAAACATGACTAAAATACTTTAAGAAAATTAAACATAACAAAACCATCACTACCACCCAATTGTTTTAAGCTGTCTTTTCGAATATTTGTGGTCTTCAAAGTAACTCCTGCAAAATTTACCAGACTTACCTGCTCTTTGTGACACTAATTTAGGTTGGCTGTTTCATTTTTGGATATTGATGGCTATTATCCTTTGATTAACAAAGACTCTATTAGTCACATGTTTAGTCTAAGCATATACTAATGCATCTATACACCTATTTGTCATAAAATCAGATTTGAATCCTATGAACAATTTTTATACATTTCTTTTTGTTCTTTGTTGTTTATTTTCATTATTTCCATCTCATGACTGCACTCTTAATGATGTTATTTCTGGATAAATTAACAGATGCTTTTCTCTTTATCCTTTAGCCAATATTGTTGTTGTTGGTGGCTTTAATACTTATTACACTAAATAGTTTGAACCTGATGGAACTAAAGCTCATAACTTTTTTATTTCTTAATATGCTACTCAGATATTTCAATTTTAACTCGCTTTTCAGACAACTTTAATCACTTATCTTCACTCCTTTTTTGTGTCTTGTCTCTGACCCTAGCTTGTGTTCAGTGTTTTCTTGTTCTTGGTTAGGTGGTTCAGACCGTGCTATGATCTGACTGTGACTGGGATTATTTTTGCGATTTTCTCTGTGGTTGTCTTTTAGCTGATGTCTTTCATGTTTCTTCTAAAATATATACCTTCTGCATAAACTGGGTCCAGGTAGGTATGAAAGCTTTTTGTGCCAAACTTTTGCTATTAGTCATTAAATTAAAACTTTTCAATTAGTATTTAAACGATAAAGCACTTGAGTTTTTTATAATTTAAATGGTAATAATATAAAAATAATAATTATAAATATTTTGCAAATTGAAACAAAAATTTACTTTTATATATAACTTCAACTCAAAAATACAACCTTGAGGTACACCAGAAGTTGAGAGAGATGATTGGACAATAGTTAAAGGGGTCAGAGTGTTTTCCAGAGTTTTTGAAAGTTCCTGGTTGTATTCAAACTCAAAGTTGTATTCTTGATCCTGTATTATTTCTCATTCATTTTAATGACCTTCTTGACAATCTTACATCTAAAATGGTTCTATTTGCTTATGACACCTATATACTCCTTAAACTTTTTATCAACTTCATGACCTCTTTGAACAGTTAGCCATGTTGAATTTAGTCTCCCCCCTGTAACAGCTTGAGGTTTACAGCGGCTTGTAAATTTTAATTCTCTCCCATCTTTGTTCTCAAAAAATTGCTTATCTTGAAAAATCTTTTTTCAGATAGCGAATACTTGAAAGAATGTTTTATTAACATGTATGAAGATCTTTTGAACAATTTTTAAAATTAAATTGAAATTATTAACAACTAAAAGTTATGACACTGTCAGCAAGAATTTTTAAAAATATAAACTGTTTCGATTTTCACTGATATAACTAACCAACAATTAAAGACATAAATTATCATTCGAGTTTATGTCAAACTTGACAAACAATCAACATTTTGGTTATTGCTGTTATATTCTATTTTTGAGTATTTTACATTTAAATACAGCCTCAATCTTTATAAAGTCTGTTGAACAACAAAATGTTTCTTTGTGTTTTATTAAAGAAACTCTTTCTGTATTATCAACAAATCCTAAAATAGACCAAATCAATATTGATAGAATTGTTTACTGAAAATAGAAAAATATTGATTCTTTAAACAAATTTGAATTGTATGTATTTGAATGTATTTGAAATTTAAAATGTAGTTCAACAGATAATGTAAAAATAGCTTTAGTATATATATATATATATATATATATATATATATATATATATATATATATATATATATATATATATATATATATATATAAATATATATATATATATATATATATATATATATATATATATATATATATATATATATATATATATATATATATATATATATATATATATATATATATATATATATATATATATATATATATATATATATATATATATATATGAAACTCTATTGAACTAATTATTTCCTGTTAAAAATAAAAAACAATTTTGCTCCAAATATTTTTATTTAGAAATCAATTGATTTTTCAAACTAGTTTAACAAACCAAAAGTTTTTATAAAATCAGATTCCAGTTTTCAAATTGCAGTTTTAAAATCAGATTCCAGTTTTCAATAGCTGTGCGTTAATACAAAAAAAAAAAAAAAAAAAATTAAAATTTCACAACGAAATCTAATTAATATAAACAAAAATAATTCAGCAAAGTTCTTAAAAAGTTTAACAAGTAAGTTTTGATTGAATTTTTTTTTAAATTTATTTCTAATTTTGATGTCAGTTTTTTTTTCAAAGTTTTTTTTTTTTAGTGTCATTGGGTGGAAATTATTCTCTACTTCAATCTTGCATGAATGGTTTATTAAAAAACAGCTCGGCTATGGTTGCTTCTGCAATGCATGATTTTAAAATTGTAAGTTTATAAAATATTATTTTTGCTTTTTAAGAGAATGCAATGAGTTATTGGTCAATACCAAAGCTGCTATATAAAATATTTTTTATTTAATATAGTATTTTATAAAAGGTAACAAAAAATTTCACAATAGAAGGATTATCATATAAATTTTTATATGCTAATCCTTCTCATTAATAATCATTATGTATATATATATATATATATATATATATATATATATATATATATATATAATATATATATATATATATATGTATATATATATATATATATATATATATATATATATATATATATATATATATATATATATATATGTATATATATATATATATATATATATATATATATATATATATATATATATATATATATATATATATATATATATATATATATATTAGTGAGTCCAAATAATCGTATTTTCAGTTATCCGGGTAATCGAGTATTTATTTTTTTATTACCCGGGTATCTGAGTAAAGGAAAAAAAATTTACCCACACCATGTTGTGTTAATTAAATTTAAAATAAAATGCAACAGTTTTAGTTTTAAATCTATTTTTTATTTAAAAAATAATACTTTAAAAATACAAGTTTGTCAACCGTTTCCATTTTCAACTGATTTCTGGTTTTTGTGACAAAAGCTGAAGCTACCGAAAGCACTCTTTCACTTACTGTTGATGTTGGTTGTATTGTCAATAATGCTGTAAAAAGTTTTCCAATAGAGTCACCTCGTTTTGAACAATCTTTCTCCCACAACTTCACTTCTTTTTCCAATGTGGATTTTCTCTCATTATTTTCTTTCGGAACAGTCATAATTAATTCAATTGTTTTTTGGAGTTCATCATAGTTTGAAACCAAACCATTATTTGAAATTATTTCTTCATTTTCAATTGTTAACTCTGTATCCATCTGTGTGTTTGCAGGATCTTCATTGAACAGCCTTTTGAAGGTTTCTTTAGCCAATAAATGAATAGAACTTTTTTTTAAATAAGTAAAATGGCAGTTAATATCTGGTTTAGGATAATTTCCAGATTGTAAAAAACGCAAGAGTGATACAACATCCTCATTTCGTCTTTCTTCGATTCTTTTCTTCAAAGCAGTGAACATTTCCATGGCTAACTGCGTATTTGTTTCTTTTAGTTTGTTTAGCAAAAAAATGCATACTTCTTCGTTCAAAAAAATGCATACTCCGCTTTTAAAAGATTATTATTATCTTTACTGAGCTCTTTAACAGCAAGCTCAACCGGTTGTAAAACATGTGATATTTCTTCTAAAACTTTGATATTTTTTTCTGAACATTTTTGCTGACCTAATTCCATTAGAGCCTTTTGTATACAATTGTATATTTTTATGAAACGATTTACCATTGGTATTATTGAGTTCCATCTTGTTTTGCAATCGAGTAGCAATCGTAACTTTTTGCCTTCTTGATCTATTATATGCTTTTCAAGAACACTGCTTCAAACTGAAGAATATTTGAAAAATTTAATAATTTTTCGTGTTTCATCAAGAATTTTGCCAATGTCTTCACGAAAGATTGGAAAGTTGTCTAACTGAATCATTTTGAAAATTTAAGTTACCATCAAAAGCAAATGCATCAGCTACCTCATCATTTTGTTCGGTAGTTTCATCACAATCATCATCTGCTAAATTTTCATCATATTCTAAATTCTCATCACCTTGGAAATTTGTATCAATTACCGCATCATCATTTGTAATTAAACTCCCACTTTTTTTATAAAATACATCAAGTACAGCAAGATGTATAGCATGGTTGTAGCATAACTGAGAAAATGATAAAATATTTTTCCCATATTTTACCATGACTGATGCTCCATCATGTGTGGATCCGACGATATCATTATCCATTTCAATTCAATAATCTTTAAGTTTTGCTTTTACCAAATTGATAGTGGCATTTGAATCACAAGAACCTATTATTGCAAGACTACAGGTGGCTTTGTTGCTGAATGAAGAGTGATATTCATTCATGAACCTTCTAACGTTTATATCACTCCATTCATCGACAGTAATACTGAATCTCTCTCCAGATTTTTTTTGCTCTAATAATAACGACGCCATTAATTCTTCTTTTTTTTCTTTATAAAAATCCATTATATATTTCGTTATAAATACCGTTGTTTCACTTTTTGGCATTTTATAATTACGACTTGCTACGAAACCCCTAATGACTTCAGATGAAGTAATTCCTTTGATGCTAAATCCATCTTTTGTTGCACATTTCGCCAATATTTCATTCAATGATTCTCGACTTATGACTTATGAAATTTATTATTCCATTTCCAACTGATTTTGTGTTTTTCGAAGAAGACGCATCAGTTTCATTTGTGTCGCCCAAATTTCTTTTTTGTAAAGATATGCTATGTAATTTTAAATGATTAATCATTCCAATAGTATTAGATCCCGGACGTTGAACTATAGATTTGCATATGTTACAAACTGACTCCGATTTCTCTTTTTTTGTAAAATATTTCCATACCTCTGATTTTTTCGAAGACATTTCTGGGTATATGTAAATAAATCACTAAAATAAAAAATCACAACATAAAAATTGAAAATTGAAATTTATACGTGTTTAAATATGCATTTATTACTTGAAATTTAGTACATTTTACTCAAAACATTTCACTTACCTAAGGCAGCTATATATATTAGAAAATTAAGTATTTATTTTATTTATTTCACAAATTTTTTAAAAAATATTTCACTTTCTTGCAAATTTTACGTCATACAACTTCAAATTACAAATGTTGTTTATCTTATGTAACTTAGTTAAAAAAAAAACTTTTGAAACTTAGTTAAAAATCAACGGTTGCTAAGCAACTTTATTATAGAAGTAAAAGAAGAAAAAACGGTAGAATACCGATACTCGATTGATTAATAGTTAAATCAATGTGCAATATTTACATTTTTTTTTTGTTTAAATATTATACTCGATACTCAAAAAAAATATTCAGAGTAGTCGTCTACTCGGAACTTGCTTATAAAGTATCAATTACTCGAGTACTCAGGTAATTGATAATCGTAATTGGATTCCCTAATATATATATATATATATATATATATATATATATATATATATATATATATATATATATATATATATATATATATATATATATATATATATATATATATATAACAAGTTTTTGTTAAAAATCTGGGAAAAGTTTGAAAATTAAAAATTGGCTTACCCACAAGTTTTATTGAATTCAGATACTATTTATATTGTTACAAATTTGATATTTTTATATTTTGCGTTTTCTGTTAAAGTTGCACATATCATAGAAAATGATGCCAAGAAAGTAACCAAAAAAAAGTTTAACATTTTTTCTAGTGCTCTAATCTTAGAAAAGAAGCTTAAAAATTAAAAACCTAAATATACTTGAAAAAACTAAAATTAAGTTTTCCAAAGGCAAAGGGTGTTTGCAAATTTGTATGTAGCTCTGAATAATTTCTTAAAACAAAAGACAAACATCAGTTGCCATAGTATGATCTTTTTCATTTTATAACTATTACAAAATGATGACCAGCAAGAAAGAATTTGCTGAAGATGTGACTGCTTGTATCAAAATCAGCCATTTTGTTCATCATTAGTAACAAATCTTTTTTCACCTTGGCTCAGCAAAATCAATGTCATTTTTTATTCAAGTACTGTTGAACAAACTCCTACTTAAGTAAAATATAGAAAACCAAAAAATGCTTGTGCATTTCTGATAAAGAGTCAAAACTGTACTTTGTCTCCAGCAGTTTTACAAAACCTTTACTTACATTGCATCATCATTTACTTACATTACATCATCATTTACTTACATTGCATAATCATTTACTTACATCAAGAAACGATTAGAACTTTTTCGTAAAAAATATCTGATGACGAATACTTATTTTGATTTCATTGCATTATGCGGACATGATGACATCATTTTTTAAAAAGAGTTCCATAAATAATGTGGCTAAAGCTAATAACCTGTCAAACATTCCAGAACATTTAATTGAGGATTTGTGTAGAATTCTAAAAAGTCTCTTTATTATGAAGAATAGAATTGGGTCCTGATTCTCTTCAGGAAATAGCTTGGGTTAGAATAAATATCAACTTTTTTATCAGTTTCAAAAATCAAATGTGAAAATCAAAAATGGTATAATATTTGAAGAAAAATAATATTGAAACTATTAAATGAATAAATATTCTATATAAATATATTTTAATTCAATTTGTAGCTTAAAATCTTAGGGAGTAATAGCAATTTATAATTTTCACAGATGTTTATTGAATACTTGTTATGCATTACACTGTTAGCATTATATTTTTTAGATAAAGTTCAACTTTTGGAACCATTATTGTTTTTAAGTAGGGCTGAGACAGCATTTTTTGATGTGATTAAAATAGAGTACCTACTTTCTTATCACCTATAGTGAGATTGTCGAACTGACCTAAAGTTTTTTTTTTAATAGCAAGAAAGTTAACATTGCCATGGATTGCAATGTTAACTTTCTTGTCTAAAAGTTGGTTTTGTCAATTCACATATCTAAAAGTTGATTTTGTCAATTCACAGTCAAATCATGGAGATCCAACTTCAGATAGTGAATTAAATCCAAGATACAATTTCAGATGGTGAGCTAAAGATGTTTAGCAGCTTTTCTAGCAGAACAGCACCCTTTGCCATTCGGCATTCATATAACAAACAAAACTTATAATGATCTTTAGTTAAGCACTTTGATTTGTATAATTTATTTAAAATTACACAATGTAACACATTTTTTGTTCCTGGCTTCTAAGAGTTATATTTTAATTGCTTATGTCTAAAGTAAGTAACAAACTTTGCTTATATGACCACAGCACAAAGCAAATTTGTTTTTGTGTGAAAATAGAACAACTTTTTTTCATTTTTGTCATTAGGTAAAAACAAAAATTACACAAGGAACAGACAAACACAGTCAGAAACTACTCGACAAGGTTCAGAAATGTTTAGATTTTTTATATTTAGGATTGTACTGTGAATCATTCTTTCAAAGTAACTCCCAAATGTAGTTCCTCATCATGTTTTTGTTATACTGTCTTTGGCAACGGCGTTCAAAGTCCAATATATTTTGATGAAAGTGCTCGCCTTGCTTCTCTGAGTAAATGCCCATGTTCTCTTTGAGTTTGTTAATATGCTAATCAAGGATATGGACTTTCTACTTCCCATTTTGGTGTAATTCTTTATGAGAGTCTGCACCAACTCTATATAATTTTCTAGAAAGCCCTGAACAGCTGCAACGAAACTGCTCCAAGCCGCTCTCTCCATCCTGTTCACTAGTTTTTTAAAATCCTCAGTTTTGGAAAAAGATCTTGGAGGTATTAAAATGCTTCTGACTTCTTATCAATTATCCTATATCTGGAATAGTATGATAGTCTGTCTGTCCTCGCCAAAGACTGGCAACATCGTTGCAGGAGCACAGCCTATCACGCAGAATAAAGAAGTTGGAGAATCTTCGATGCCACTTTTTCTGATCCGTGACTTGTACACTGTTATCAACCAAGTTCTGTATTGAAAGTAAAATGAGAAGTTTACTTTCAATCCTTATAGTGTAGTCGAAAGAGACTTTTATAGTAAAAAAAAGTCTCTTTCGACTACAATTTTTATTACCTCGTCTCTTAAGCTGTATTTGATTGTCATCGAAATGTCAAAGCAATTAAATTAATGCGGAAGTACATTAAATTTTATTGTTTTTTAAAAAAGCCGCAATAATAATGACTAGAAAGTTTTTTTAATTAGATGTGTTTTTGTTTTTGTTTCATTAAAAAACATTTTTAAAACATGCGTAAGTGTTGCTGCATCGACTATCTTAAAGCCTGCAGCTACAAGGGAGTGTTACTACATCGACTATCTTATAGCCTAACTCGCAATGGAGTGCTACTACATCGACTGACAAATAGCCTGACTCGCAAGGGACTGCTGCTACATCGACTGACAAATAGCCTGACTCGCAAGGGAGTGCTGCTACATCGACTGACAAACAGCCTGACTCACAAGGGAGTGCTGCTACATCGACTGAGGGTTTGGTTTGGGCAGGCAGTCTATCTTTTAAAAAAATTTTTTTTTTGAAGTTTTTTAACATTTTCTGGTCAGGCTTATTAACGCGCTCTTTAAAACAACATTTTATGGGAAAAACGTTGCGACTACCATGCAAGACTATATATATATATATATATATATATATATATATATATATATATATATATATATATATATATATATATATATATATATATATATATATATATATATATATATATATATAAAGAAAATATATTTTGTAGGATGTTATGCAACAAACCAACTCAACAAATTTGAAGTTGAATAAAACTCAAGTTCAACTTTTTAGTATTCAATCACCAATCTTTAAGATGATGCTGAGTGGCATGGCATATGTTCTACTAAGTCTTTTGATTGCTGGTAGTGTATATGAAATTTTAAGAATAAAGTGGATTAAAAAACCTCGAGTTGCACCCAGTTTAGGTATTTTAAAATAGAAGTTAAAAAAAGTAAATATAAAAGTAATAATAAACTAGTCCAGTATTTTTATAAAGATCAATTATCAAAATGCATTTATTTATAATGCTATGCGATTTTTTAGTTTAATTTTAATGATATCACAATCTCTGTAAAAGAATTTTCACCGTGTATTACCCCGACGGGCATTTGTTTTTAAAAGTTACGTTCTAAATGTGTTTTAAACGTCTTTCAAACGTCTTTTAAACATTAATGTTTAAAAGACGTTTAAAAGACATTTAAAATACATTTAGATCGTAACTTTTAAAAACAAATGCTCCTCGGGACTTTTTATAAAACTTGCATACTTTTTTCCAAATTTTTAATGCATGTCATTTAGCGGGTTGTGCAAAAACATCATAGTTTATTTCATAAGTATTTTTGACTACATATTTTTTCTAATTAATAATTCTTAGTTTCATAAACTAATTACGAAATATATTTTTATAATTAATACATATTGTATTATTAATATTAATATTGTATTATTAATATTATTATATTATAAATTATAAATTTATAAATTTTAAATGATTTGATAAACTTTTATGCAGATTAAGAGTAGAGTAAAAATGTTATTAGAGCAGGGGGTTTATTTGAAGGGAGAATCCTTTAAATATGGTATAATATACGGTACAAGTTATCAAACTTCTGGTTTAAAAATAAATAAAAACTTTCAACTTAAAAATTAATTATTTAAATAAAAAAATTTATAAAAGATTATATAGATTTTGATTTTGATTGTGCAATTTACAGCTTTCTAAATGTTTGAAAATTTATTTATATATTTCTCAGTGTTTTATTTAATATTTGAATTATTTTAGATAAAAAGGTTGCATACTTGCAAGAAATGAAAAATCTTTCTCAAGAATATCTAATTGAATTTCATAATATGGTTGAAAGGCTGCAGATAAAAACTGATATACTTCTTTATAAACACGCTGAACAAAGATATAAATTGAGAAATAAATTTTCTAAGTTATACGGGGTAAACTTCAAATATGTAGCCCTAAACGATCTTGGCGTGTCCTTGGAACAGATTGCTGAGTTTAGAGAGGAAATTAAGCGTCGCCCGAAGAAAACTTGTTGGCAAAGATTTTTGGAGTACGCAGTGAAGAAACTGTCGTGGTTGCGCATCAAGATTTTTAAATAGTCAACAAAAAAAAAAATTATTTTTAACAGTTTTCTTGTTCTGCAGGGATCAGTGCTTTTTTTAGTTCAGAATCTAACACTTTTTTTAGGTTGGTTTTAACGACTTAATAGGTTACTTAGTAGTAACAGTATAAATAATTTATTTGTGTAAAAAATTATTTATGTAAAGTATTTATATTTAATTTGAACAAAAAAATCTCGAAAGATTTTCAAGCAATTTTGTTTTTAAGTATAGTTTATCCCGATTACTTAAATTAGTAAATTAAATAAGTTAAGTTTTGTTAAGCAGCTAATAATGCCTCACTTAAAGTGTACGGCATAATATTTCACTTAAAGTGTACGGCGAATCGTGGCCTCACTTAAAGTGTACGGCCTAATATTTCGCATTTTTGACGTAAGGCCATTAAATAGGATTAATATTCTATAAAATATACAAACATAAAAATTGTTCTGGAAATATTTTTTATTCAGGAAAAAAAAAGATTTGTTAAAAAAAAGTTTGATTTTGTTTAAGTTTTTTGAAGTATAAGAAAAAAAAGAAATTGTGTTTATTAAGTTTATAAAATTAATTTTATAAAGTATCTTGCTTTTTTTTTTAATTTTATATTTATGTTGAATCTTGCTAATTTCCCTGTCTTTTTTTTTTTCATTACTTGTTGCGTTGTATTGCATTTTTTTTAAACAAGCAACGTTATCCACATAACTTCCATCAGTAACTTCTATTAGTATATTATTTTACTTTTATTATTGACGAATGCAAGTATATTACATAATATTATGTTTGTGAATTTTATCCCAAGTTTTAGATGCTTAGAGCAAAGGAGGTTTTTATTGAACAAATATTTTTTGAAAATAAACTGAGCAGTTGTTCTGAATGATAAATCAATGTTGATAATAGTATCAAAACTAATAGCTAACATTGCAAAAGCATTGCAAACATAATTACCCAGATAAGTATTTAGTATGGTCAATCCATTCGTAGATAAAATTTTAATAGGAAATCTTTTTTATTATTTTTATTATTTTTTCATATTGCATTATAACCTGCAAAATGAAAAGCAACTTCTCTACTGTCTTCTGACAAAGATACACTATTTAAAAGAAGAGTAGTCATGACTAATGACTTTATAACTATGTTTCAAAAGAGCTTTAATCGAGAAACAGTTAAATATTTGTTGAAATGTTGAACTAGTTTATGCAGACAAAATAAATTTCTTACAATTTACTTTTTTATTTTTCTCAAATTATCAGTCTAATTTAGATTTTTGAGCATTCAAGATAGCAGCATTTACTAAATAGTTTGAACAAAAATGATTTTTATTAGTAGCAAAAATCCACCATTTATTAAACATTCTAAGTTGGATTTTTTCATGGACGTCATGAAATAGTTTACACGATAATAGCCTTTAACTGTAATGTCATAATTTAATTTAATGAACTCAAATGGGGAAAATAAAAACCCATTTCGATTTTGCAAGTTATTTCTCACATTGTTAATTAAATGTACAACACTAGAAAATAAATAAAATTTTCTGCAGTTGAATAAAATTGAGAGGTTATCTAAGCCATTTTCATATTTTGACATTAATTTATTAAATACAGAAACATTGTTTGCATGTTTTTTTAGCACAACAAAAGCTGTTAAAATCTATCAATTGTTTCAACTAGAATAGCTTTTATGTATCAAATATTTTCATTGAAACCATTTATCATAAATCAAACAAAACTTTAGTAAAGTTAACCAATATTGTTTATTAAATTGTTTATTGTTAATTTGTTTATTGTTAATTAAAACTAATTAACAATAACAACAATACATCTGTGAGCAATATAAAGCTCCACTAGAGTATTCTGGACATGGAAATGCATTTCTTCAAGTATTATGCAGACTTCTTTTGACATTTTGCCATTTTTAAGTAACTGTTTTGCAGATTTTACTGTATCTATATATTAGGGGAGAGCGGGGGTAAAAGTCATAAGGGTTAGTTGTCATAGTCGCTATTTCGGAATGTTATAGCTGGATTGATGCTGCAATTTTTTTATATTATATAAATGGTGCTGAAAGATGACTGCTCAGTTGATTTCATGAAATTCGCGCGAATAGTTTTTCTACAAATCCAAAAAAAGTAAAAATTTTGTTGGTAAGTAACTTTTTAATTTTTTTGTTCAAATGTTCAATACAGTAACAATATGCAATATTTGTGTTTAATACATTAAAATGTTTATAGTTTTGAAAATTCTTTTATTGGCGTGCTAGTCATTTTTCAGATTCACGGCAAGGATAAAAAGTTATTTAGGTCAAACCTTCCTCTACCCCCTGTGGGGCAAGTTGTCCTATTTTAAAGGGGACAAGTTGTCATATAAAAAAAATTGCCTCCATACTTTCATATAGTTTTAAAAGTCTTAAATGAATGTTAATAATACATACAGTGCTTATTATAAGTAATAAACATCAATAAAATGAATTAGGCATAATTTTTGAGATTAATAATAAGCCTTAGTAAACATTAAAAAATGATAGTGATAGTTTTAGACAGTTATAAAGTTTTGCTTACTTGGACTTTTATCCTAACATTTTTTTTTTTTTTTTTGCTTTATCAGATTTTAAATCATGGTTCGCAATTATCGAAGGAAAACCAGTAGAGGTACCACTGCTAAATGCACAATCCTTGAAGCAGTGAAAGCTGTAAAGTTACATGGCAGAAGCATAGCCCAGGTGTCTCTAGATTTCAACATCAACTATAGAAGCCTACAACGCTATTTGTCAAAAGCCTCTACAGAAGATCTTCAAGAAAAATCAACAATACCTTCATTTCACACTGGCTACGTACAACCTAGGTTTGTAGACTGTTAATATGTTTACGGATTATAATATTTGTTATTATAAGTGACTCCATAAAATAAGTATTTATACTGGTATATATTTTATATTATTTCAGGTAAGTGTTGACACAGGAGCTTCATCTTGAACTCTGTAGCTACTTGCAAAGAGCTTCAGATATTTACTTTGGCCTTACACCAAAAGATGTTAGGAAACTAGCATATCAATTAGCAGATGCTAATAAATTGGCTATGCCAAAATCATGGATGGAAAATCATTGTGCTGGGAGAGATTGGTTTACGTCTTTCCTACAAAAAAATCCAACATTGTCTTTAAGAGCTGCAGAGGCCACAAGCATTGCACGTGCCATAAGTTTCAACAAACACAATGTTGAAATGTTTTTCAATAATCTTTAGGTGTGTCTTCAACGTCACCAATTCACACCAGCAGATATTTGGAACATGGACGAAACAGGGGTAACTACAGTTCAAAAGCCTGATAAAGTGATCTCAAGAAAGGGCCAAAAGCAAGTTGGGGCAATAAAATCAGCAGAAAGAGATGCTTTAGTTACCTCGGCATGTGCTGCCTCTGCTATTGGTAACAGTTTTCCACCTTTTTTCGTATTTCCGAGAGTCAATTTTAGGGACCACTTTTTAACTTCTGCACCACCTGGCAGTGATGGGGACGCAAATCCATCTGGTTGGATGAAGGAAGACACTTTTTGTAAATTTCTTACTCATTTTGTAAAAAATGCACGGCCTTCAAAGGAGCATCCAATTTTGCTACTGGTTGACAATCACTTATTGCACTTGTCATTGACTGCACTAGACTATGCGACAGCAAATAGAATTATTTTTAAATTTTATTTTAATTAAGTATATAGCCTTTTTAAAAAAGCTGTAAATACAGCCATCAACAGTTGGATGGTCAGTAACCCTGGAAAGGGTATGACAATTTACAATATTCCAGAGATAGTGAAGGTTGGCTTTCCATTGAGCATGACATCAAATAACATACTGAGCGAATTTTCTTCCTGTGGCATCCACCCATTTAACTCTCAAATATTTACTGATTTGGACTTTGCTCCAAGTTCAGTAACAGAAATGCCTATGCCAGTCAAAACCAATCCTCAATTAACAATGCCTCAAGCTTCAGAGGTTACAGACTCACCAGAACAATCCACTTGTGCTTCAACTTCAAGTTTGACTTTTTCATCACAGGAGCCTTCAACATCTCAAGCCAAATCAATTTCTGAATGCTTTGAGCTTGCATCTCCAGATAAAGTAAGGCCATTACCAAAAGCACACGCAAAAAGAGAACTTCGTCTATATTGACTGATTCCCCTTTCAAAAATTCTATGAAATCAGCACAGCCACTGCCAAAAAAATGCAAAAGTTCTGCTAAGGGAAAGGAAAAAGGCAAAGCAACAAAAAAGCATACACAAGACTCATCATCATCATCAGAAAATGACACCTACTGTATTGTTTGCATGGATACTTGGGCTAATAGCAGAGATGCTGAAAAATGGATCAAATGCTGTGATTGCTCAAGCTGGGCACATGAAGAATGTACAACAGGAGAGTCCAGCTACATTTTCCATAACTGTGACTCTGATGATGATTATTAATGGTCATTTTCAAAGTGTTTTAGAGTATAAATTATAATATAATTTATATGTTATTTTTAATAATTTATAAATGATTAATATAATACTTCTTTTCTATTTGAAAATATTTTTTTTTTACCTTTAAGACCTACACTTGTGATAAAATATAATTATAACAACTTGCCCCTCTTATCATGGAGCCTTCTTTAGAAATGGTGGCATGTTATACTCAAATGGTCTGAAGCTTTCCAAAGTTGTTTTTTAAATAACTATAATGATAAACTATCACATTAAATAGTTTTTATGAAAATTGACCGATTGGTTTTTGAAATATCTTGAAAAATATAAAAAGTATGACAACGTGCCCCGCTCTCCCCTACCAGAAATTATTTTATCAAGAAAGTTATGAAAATTCTTCCAAATGCATTTTGTTGGATTGCATGGATGTATTGTGCAATAATAATGTATAACGAATTACATCGATAGAGTACACTGCTTTATTTTTTCTGATGGTTTATTTTTTCGAGTCTCTAAAAACAGAAAAACTATTTTCTGTCAAACAGGAAGGAAGGTTTTAAACATACTTTTACAAATTTAAGTAAAATTTTGACCACTATGAAACCTCTGAGGTAATGGCACT